CTCCCCAGAATCACAGCCCTGTGATCAGGAGCAAAAACAGGTTGCACCTTATCCGCTCCATGGAACAACTGTGCAGAGAGAGGCAGCCGTGGAGTACATAAGTGTCTTTTTGATATATTTTATACATAAATATGTATAAGCTTGAATATTACTTTGCCCATTTTCACAGAGTTTAAGGTCTGAAGGGGCCACTAGATCACCTAGTTTAACCTCAGTGAAGGCACAGAGAAGGGAAGTGACTTGCCCAGGGTTACGCAGCAAATCCGCAGGAGAGCCAGTAATAGAAGCCAGGTCTGCTGCCTCCCAGTCCAGTGCCTTATGTGCAGCACCACACATTGCCAGTTCAGTAAATGAAATTAATATATGCTACCCAGCACATCTTCTGACACAGGGATGCTCAGCATTGGCCTTGAGTCCTGTGACAGCAGAAGCTGTGGACCTCTCTTTGTTGTTTTTTTTTTAAAAGTAAGTGAAGACAGCCCTAAATAATAATAATAAATAAATATACACTGACATGAATTGATCCCTATGACTGAAAGGGGAAAGTAACTGGGCTCCATTTCTGCAGCAGAAAGCTGGGAAGACACATATTTGTAACAAAAATGAGTTACTAAGTTTGATATGTATTCCAATGCATCATCTCTCCCACCCTCCTTAAAATCCTTAGGCCAGCCCTGTGTATAGCAGTAGGACTCTGGTGAAAAGGAATCAGTTACCATTAGTTTTTGTGCAAGGATGGGCAGCAAACACTTCTTTCAAAGGTGAATCCAAGGTCAGTTCTGGGTGGAAGACAAGAATCCACAGGCTGGAATCTTCTGCTGCTTCTCTGAGCAAGGGAGATGAGTATATCCAACCATCTGCCAGTGAATTCCTGCACCTGAAGCCAGTTTTGGCAAGGCACAGCCTGGGGACACGGTGCATCCGCCAGCATTTTAACCAAGCACAATTCCTATGAACTATGGAGGGAGCTGCCGGGCTGTGTGTGCAGTGGGAAGGGCTCCCTTTTCCCGTTTGCCCAGCCTTGCACACTAGTGCACCACAGGGTAGGCGTTCGCCCTCAGTATGTGAAGACTTTCAGGATACTTTAGGCTGACAGCACAATGTAAAATGGATGCTAATTTAGGATGTATTTGTATTATTTATTTAAAACACCTCATACTCAACTGGTATACACTGACATATAGCTCCACTGAAGACAATGGAGCTGCACTGATTTTCAGCAGCTGAGCATCTGGACCGCTGTGTTTTCATTCTGGGGGGAAATCAATAGTTCAAACAAAGCTGTTTTGCAACCAAAACAGCAAATTTCTGTTTTGTCTGTCTTTTACTTCTACATACTATAGTGTTATTTAGCAATATAACGTAAAACTTCCTACTGCAAGTCAATATCACAACTATCAATACTTTAATAAGCCAGAGAGTCATAATTCCAAATTCCATTTTGGAAATCACTTGAAGTTGTTTCGATAAATTATTTCCCCTAGAAACCAAATTTTCCTGACCTGCTGGCAATTATTGCACTAAGGTAGAAAGGGTTAGGCTGGACCAGAGGGATTTGCTATCTTGCACTTCGATCTTGGCAAAGATCTATACTATAAGCAGTTTCTGAGAAATTTCTCAAGAGATGTCAGCTAAGCATGCCAGAGGCTAACCTCTTCTTTTGTGATTTGTGACTTGTATTTGCATGATTTCATACTTAATCCATAGTGTAGACTGTCAAATGGATGTTATAACTCAGAATTAGCAATCTAATGTGTGAAGATTGATTGGAAAAGCCTAGAGATCAATTTAAGGTGACACACACATGAAAGTTGAAGCTTAATTTTCAGAATGAGTCCAGATATAGCTCAGCAAAGTATAGTTTTAGTCCTATTTTTTCATTAACAAGAAGTATCTGTCATATTCATAGCTAGCTCTTTGGCCTACTTATGCCCATATATTTACCACTTGCAAAAGGAACATGTATTTTCGCTATCTTACAATTGTTGGGCTTTCATAAGCAATACTATATTTTAAATCCCTCGTGGCTTCAAAGACTAATAAGGCTATCTACAGTCTAAATGATGACAAAGCAAAATTCCTTCCCTTCCTAAACTAAATTTCCCCCTTTGATTCCAGTCCTGTAAGAGGACTGGAATCAAAGCCACTGGGAGCTGAGCATTCAGATGATTGGGTCCCTTCTTCTCCAAATGCACTCACTGCTCAAAAATAGATACAGCAACTGTAAAATAAATAAATCAACCTGTATCTACAGTTGTTCTCATTCAAAGTGTTTTATGTTACTTATTATAGTCCAGAAATTATTAGCAACTGCCACAGAGGATATTCCAAAAGGCGTGTGAGAGAGAGAGAGAGAGACTTTTTTCTTATTTCCACAAGAATCTATGACTTTCTTTTGCAGCTCAAAGGTGTGTGGGGCTTGCAACAACAGAGTTTATATGTAAAGGTCAGCTAACGTGTTTCACATTTTCCACCTAATCCTTACGGTCTTATCTGCCGCTATCTTCAATATTTGCTAAACTGGGAGTTTAAAAAATTGTGAAGAAGGTTAAAATGATTGATAATCTGCATTCTCATGAGTTTCACTATAGCATCCACGCACTTCAGTTCAAATATAAGGTGAAACATGACAACTACTATGTAGAAATTGATTTTTTAAATACTAGTTGGAAATGTCATTTATCAAATAAAGCAGTGTCTCATAACTCAATGTCCACTTATGCGCCTTGAGTGACAATAGCTTATTAACATCACAGCTCAGAAAGAACGAGCGTTCTCCTGTAGCTTGCTTGGTAGGAGCTTAATGTTTATTATGAGTTTAAAGAATATTTTTAATATTTGGAAATTCTGCAATATTTTTATATCAAAAGATGCTCCTCCCTTCCCATTGTTATCTTTGTTATAATCAGTTTGTCTTTAAACTACATGTATTAAAAAAAAGGATCCAAGTTCTATAGTAGCTATAATCAGGGCCGGTGCTACCATTAAGGCAAAGTAGGTGGTTGCCTAGGGCACCAAGATTTGGGGGCGCCAAAAAGTGGTGCCCCCAATTTTTTTTTTTTACAGCGTTCCTGGGCTGGGCTGCTGGCGGCGTGCTGACATGTGCGGCTCAGACTCCCTCTCCCAGCGCAGCGGCCGCTCCATGCAATTATTGCCATTGCCAGCGGGGGCGCCGGCGGCTGGCCAGAGCTCTGCAGCTCCGCTTAGCGCTCACGTGGCACGAGCCCGGCGACGGGCGCGAGAGCAGGGCTTCGCACAAGGAAACGGGCGGCTGCCTCCTGCCTCAGCCTCCACAGTCAGCCCCAGCAGGGGGCACGGAGAACAAAAGAGCCTCGGGCGGCAGTCTGGTGGAGGAAGAAAGAGGACCCCAACACCCGTGCGTTGGGCAAGGTAAGCGCTTCCCCACAGCTCGACCTCGGGCGCCTGTGCTCCTGCTCCCCTTGGTCCGTGGCTGGTCCGTGCTCCTGCTCTCCTTGTGCGTGGGCGGCTGGAGAGGACGGCAGCCTGCAGAGCTGAGCTGCCCCAGTGCCCCCCTCTCCCTGCCCCAGCCTCTGTCATGCCCGGTATCTGGGTTTTAAGCCCTGCTGCTGTGTTATGCCTGCAACAGGCAGGCCTAAGCCTGTGAGTGACCCCCATAGCAGCTGCCCGAAGAAGTGCTTGGGGGAATCACGCAGAAGGAACGTGATATTTGTTTGAGTTCTCTTCTTATGGAGGCTGCGCTCCACTTGGTGCAGGACTGAAGTCTCAGCAGGACTCTAGGCCCAGCACCTCGCCTCGGTTTGTAGACTTGTAGTGCACCCGTCACCAGGCTCAGTCTGGCACCGCTACCCCTCACCAGTGCCCAAGAAGCAGTCAAAAAAGTTGGATGGACTGGTTAGGTTAGGTTAGTTGTCATGCTGTTGCTTGGCCAGTGTAGAGACCACAGAATGCATAATATTCCTCTATGATGTTCTGTCCTGAACAAAATTGGCATGTTATGAGGTAGTGCCTGTGAGGGACAGGAGTCTGTTTATGTCATCCAGCCATCATGTCTTAGGTCTTCTGGGGTGTGGGGGCTTTTCCATCCTGTTTTCATTGGATCAAAGTCAAAGATTATTCTCACAGGGAAGTTAGTAGGCATTTAGAGCAGATGAGCATATCGCCACAGAGAGCACTTGGCAACCATTTGAGAGTGTGTGACCTATTTAGTTAGAAAATGGAACTTTTCATTCAAATTGAGTTTGTACCATTTGATGTTTTTAATCATTTGGAGGTGCATGGCTGGTTGGACAGAATGGGTTCTGCAGCACTCCCAGTCAGATTTTGATATGAAGGAAGGAAGTATACGTGACTAAAAAGGGTGTATTTCTGATTACAATCAACATTGCTTAATTTTAAGGGAAAGTCATCTTGATCTCTTAATTAATATTTATGTCAAACAGTTGATGAAATTCAAATAGTGACTTTTAGTAAGTGACATGTATTCTCTATCCTTTACTTTTAATAGTGAACAAGAAAAAGAACTGATAGGAATAAAATTTCATTTTTTTTCGTTTTCAGTTGATGCAGCCTCATGGCAGATAAAATAAAATTGTCTGGGACACAATTTCGTAAGCAGAAGGCTGATAAGCAAAAAGAAGAAAGAAAGCAAGAAGGTTCATTTCTGAAATATCTCCATCCACTGGCCAGAGATGAAGGTAGTTCAATGCCAAAGGATCAAGCAGAGATGGAGGTGGGGACGAGAGTTTCACAAGTTGAAGAAGAGTTTGAAGAATATAATCTGAATATTGAAGACGAATCAAATGAGACACACGAGGATCAAAACTTAGAAGACCGTGAAAGCTAAAATGTCACTCGTTTGAATTTGAGCTTTAGTGATCCTGCTACTTGGGCCAAATGCGATGATCAAGTCCGACAAATTCTGGTGGAACATGGTCCGGAACAAGTTCAGCAGTTCGATTTTCCCAAAGATAGTAAGCAAAGAAAATTCTTGACAATTCATTACAAACGTAGACTTGTTAATGGAGAAGAAATGCACCGTCAGTGGCTGCAGTATTCCACATCAAGTGATTCTGCCTTTTGCTTCTGCTGCAAGTTGTTTGGCAGTAGTACTATTGGCACATCATCTCTTTCTGAAAAAGGCTCAAGGGATTGGAAAAACATATCTGCAATTCTTTCACGGCACGAGAAAAGCAGTGAACATTTGGACGAATGTTCAAACATGGAAGGAACTTGAACTGCGATTGAAATACAAGAAAACAATTGATGAAGAACATTTGCGCTTGATTAAGCAAGAAGAAAAGTATTGGCAGCAAATACTAAAACGTCTGATTGCTTTGGTCAGAATTCTTGGTATGCAAAACCTGGCCTTTCGGGGAACATATGAAAAAATGGGAACTTCCTCAAATTTGTCAAATATCTAGCTTTGTTTGACCCGCTTATGGATGAGCATCTTCGCAGGATTAAGGACCAGGAGATGTATGTACATTACTTAGGGAAAGACATACAGAATGAGCTTATTCAGCTTCTATCCAATGCCATCAAACAAAAAATCCTAGCATCTGCTCATGCTGCAAAATACTTTTCGATCATTCTAGATTGTACACCAGATGCAGGTCACGTTGAACAAATGACCATGATCACTGAGTTTGTGGATAGGCCTACTTCAGAGACCGAGAATGAGACTGAATCAGTGTGCATAAAGGAACACTTCTTGGGATTTGTGTCGCTTACGGAGACAACTGGAGCTGGTATGACAGAAACTATTCTTCACCAGTTAGAAGAGATGTCACTGCCTATAGAAAACTTGTGTGGTCAAGGCTATGACAATGGGAGCAATATGAAAGGGAAAGAAAATGGTGTCCAGCAAAGAATTTTGGATATTAATCCATGAGCCTTTTTCATTCCTTGCAGTGCACGTTCATTGAATTTGGTTGTTAATGATGCTGCAAAGTGTTGCTTGGAGGCAACCGCCTTCTTTGATTTAGTTCAATGTGTGTGTGTGTGTATTTCTCAGCTTCTACACATCGCTGGGAAGTTCTAACACGCCGCATATCTAATCTCACAGTTAAACCATTGAGTGAAACAAGATGGGACAGTCAAATCGATGCCTTGAAACCTCTTCGCTATCAGCTTGGTGACATCTATGATGCTCTGATAGACATGTATGAAGACACTACTCTAACAGGATCATCTGGCAATACGTCACGAGTTGATGCAAAGGCTCTTACAAAAGCCATTTCTAGTTTCAAGTTTCTTGTTTCTCTTGTTTTGTGGTATGACATATTGTTTGAGATCAACATGACTAGTAAACAACTTCAGGCAAAAGAATTCGACATATGTGATGCCATTAATCAACTTGGAGAAACCAAGAAGTTTCTTGTGGGCCGCAGAAGTGACGCAGCCTTTGAGAAAACATTGGTAGATGCAGGTGAACTTGCGGAGGAGTTGGATGTACCAGCACTTTTTGAACCAGATCCAATCCATATTAGAAAGAAGAGGAAGCAGTTCACATATGAAGCAGATGACGAACCTATTTATAATCTGAAAGAAAAATTCAAAGTGAACTTTTACTTTGCAGTCATTGACACAGCAATACATTCGGTTGAAGAAAGATTCACATTGATGCAGCAAATTAGTTCAGTATTTGGCTTCATATATGATGTTCACAGTTTGCAAAATAAAACACCAAAGCAAATTATGGAACATTGCTTGAATCTGGAGCAAGCTTTGCAACATGGTGAATCCAAAGATATTGATGCCTTTGAATTGTGCAGCAAATTGCACGCTATTGCAAAGACGAGTCCAAAGGAGTTGATCACCGCAAGATGTATTGAACTTCATATGGGAAAATAAGCTGACAGATAGTGTCCCTAACACAGTTATTGCTCTTCACATCCTCTTTAATCTCCCAGTTTCTGTGGCCAGTGGTGAGCGAAGCTTCTCGAAGCTCAAGTTGATAAAAACATACATGCGAACATCTATGTTGCAATAAAGACTTGTTGGGCTATCTATCTTGTCAATAGAACATGACATTGCTCACAGCATTGACTTGGAGGAACTTGTTTCTAAATTTGCTAAACTTAAAGCGCGGAAACATAAATTCTAAATTATAACATGTTACTCTATGTATTGTGTATAATGTATGTGATTTATTTGGGGGGGGGGGCGCAAGGTGGAAGTTTCGCCTAGGGTGCAAAATATCCTTGCACTGGCCCTGGCTATAATGGCAAGGAACAGAAGTAATTCATATGAATCAGGAAAGAAAAGAAAGTCTATCTTTGTTGTGATCTACTGATTATTTAACAGGACTGGGAATAAGGACTCAAAGGTCTCAGCCCTAGACAAAAGACTTTGCTAAACTGGGATTAACACTAAACTTGTATCAATAACATAAGGAAAATAATCCAAACCTTTCAGATCAATAGATGAGCCAGAGCTGCGAAATTCAGATCCAGAGTTTGAAAACTCCCAAATGGCAGGAGTGTTTGGTTCCAGAGTTTTGGTTTAGCCAGTCGTAGAGAATGGAACCATCCATTATAGTTTGAATCTGTGATCTAGCACCCCTCCCCTACAAAAGTTCAGTGATGCTCAGATCAAATGGCCTGGCTTGGACCAATCTCTAATTAGAGTTATAACTTCTTTAAAAATAAAACATTTGAAATCCAAAAATCGCCCTAAAACGAGTAAAGGCCTGAACATTGGAAATGCAGAGTTATGGGGCCAGATCCTCAGCTGGTGTAAATTGGCCTAGTTGCATTGACTTATTTGGTGCTGCACCAATTTACACCAGCTGAGCCTCTGGCCCATCGTTTCTCAAAAAGGAGTAATTCTATCTCTTCACCCCTTCACTCTGCACACCACTGGTCCTAGCCTGTCTTTTATGTTTTGTCAAATGACATACCCTTGGCTCTGAATCTAGGATTAGCATCCAATATCTGAAAAATGGACAGTGTTAAGCTAGATATTGGGTTGTCTTTCTCAGGCTTCTGTTGGAATGCTGGACCCAGCTGGATTCCTTTCAGCTAAGAACAAGTTATCTCCAATTCTCATGCACTTTCTCCTTGACATCATTCCAGAGGAATTCAACTGCCTTGATGCTTCACAGAGATGCACAGTAGCATTGTCAGGGAGAGGACCATGCAGCCATTGCTGTACTCTGAAACAAGGGATGGCATGTACTGCCTTCCTTTCTGCCATGCTAGCTTCTGACAATGGCCTCTGCAGAAGAGTTTGGGGATCCTGAGCCCCACTCCAACATCTCTTGACAAATCTAGCAGTGCCAGCAGTGGCACTAAGGTTAAACCTGTTTTTCAAGGAATGTTTGACACTTTGTGAACTCTGGGAAGGTGACTGTGCTAGCCCTAATCGTACCTTTTTACACTCATTTTAAATGTTAAGTAAATCTGGTTTTCATGAGGTTTTTATTTATAGCTAATGTGTTCTGTTTCTAACGTGGCTGGGGTACATGTGTAAAATGTTTAAATCACATTAAACATACCCAAAATATAATATCCTCCATGCTGGTATCTTGGCCTTATTCAACCATATCAAACACTAGCTACCAGTATTAAGTGAGATTGCTCTTTTAAAAAAAAAGATCTCACATCTGGGTCAAATAAACTCCGCATAATTAGTAAATATCTTGTTCATCTCTCTGTTACCTGCAACTTGAGAGCTCTTCTCATCTTTGATAGCATTAAGACCAACATCTCATTGTTTACATTACTTCAGTCAATATGTCAATAGCGTACCCAGTTTCTCTCTCCCTCCCGATAAACAGATCCTTACCAAAAAACTGCAGGTTCAGCTTTTCCATGCAAGATCTTGTGTTAAACATATACTTGGCATCCAGAAGCTACACAACAATGCTTTCCTGTTCAGTGCTCTGTAGTTATGTCATTTGTACCTTTCTTTTTCCTAAGTTAATTTGTTCTTGCAATTTGTGTTTTTTTAATTTGCTGAGGCACGAGGTGATCTTGTGATTTAAAGAAATTTGTCTAGACCATGAGATATTACCCTCTATTCCATTTTCTTAAGCCATCTGAGTTTATGAAGGTTAAACCTGGTAAAAGCTACAGAAATACAAATTTCACAAGTTAGAATGGGAACTGTCCTATACTTCATGCCAAAGATGCAAGGTCTGACAGCTACTTAAGGAGGCTATGCAGTTCAGAGTTGCACTAGCTTGTCGTTTCAGAGCTATTTTTATTATGCTATAATGGGAAACAAACTTAATTAGACCAGTATCTGTACTTTATGCTGCATTGTGTATCCCAAAGTTAGTACTGTTTTTCTACATTCAAATTACATTTCAGCTTATTAGAAAAGAAAATTGCTTACCTGTAATAACTCTTCTGTAAAGACAGCATCAAATGACTCTGACTCTTGGCCCCTTATGTTGGAAGCACAATGTCCAAGAAATCTCCTAGATTTTAGGACCTCTGTAGTACTGGTAGTTGAGCCCCTACCCAAATCCCTCCATTCCAATTGTCAGGGTCCCCCTTACAACCATCCAGTAAGTTCCTGACAACACAGCAAGCAAAAATTCCCAAAAACACACTGTTGAAACAAACACACAAGAGCTATCTGACAGGATGAACAAAAATCAATGTAATGAGCACAGTTTGGTTTGGCATGTGGGTGAGTGGAAGGCTAGATTTTGCATTACACTCCAGCCCTTTTCCATCACCTGAGCTGCACAAAGGAACCAGATTCTAACCATAATTCACCAGCAAAGAATTTCCATAAAAGAGGTGAACTCTTCACTGGAGGAATGCTGGCAGAAACATTTCCTGCCCCAGCTGTCCTGATTGCAGTGTAGAGGGTGCTGAGGGAGGGAGGATGTTGAGGTGGAATTCTGTTCCACTATGGTGTGCCTCCACTAGCATAAAGTCCCTTAGGGCTAGCACTTTCCCCTTAGCCTCTCTATAGTAGAAGAGTCTGTGGAATACAGTGAACAAATTGGGTCTTGATTTCCTTTAACTCTGTACACTGACCTCAGCCTTTTCACCAAAATGATTCTCCACAGAATGGGGGGTGGATTAGCTTCTGTTCTTCCTCATATGAATGATACATGTATGCAGCCATGGATATCTAATTCAAAGCAATAGCTCTTACCACCATAATTCCTGCATCAAAGGTTGCCAAACCAAACCAATACCCTACTACAAAGACCTCTTTTTCATTTCCTGTCTTACTTCTTGGGAAGAGAATTAATTAGTGCAAGCACTACTCTACTATTATGTATTATGCGTATTATCGTAATGCCAAGGAGCCCCAGTCATGGACCACAACCCCATTGTGCTAGCAGTTGTACTGACACAGAAGAGAAAGACAGTCCAAAGAGCTTACAATATATGGATACAAACAGACTGACAGGGAACAAGACGACAATATTGGTCAGCATGATGGGCAGTAGTCTCAGCACACCAGCAGCCTAGCCATCGTAGGGTTTTTACTCTGGAGTTTAAACCGCCCTTTGGACATAAAAAACTGGCAGTTCACAGCCCTCAGTATTACACTGATACTCTCTCCTTCCATTAGAATCCCAGTGTGATGGCCAGGTGCTCGCTGGAAGCCCTGGCTAGTAGCTAGGGGGGTCGGGCCTTTAGTCGCCACATTCCTAGTCTTCCCCCTGGATCACATTCACATCTGGTGTCAGTCTGTCTTTGTCTTTGTTTGGGATGGAGTCAACCCTCTGGTCGGGTTATCCACTCAATCCTATCTCTTCCCAGTGTGGCAGAGTACCTGGGAAGATAGGGGCTTGGTTATTGACTCCCCCACAAGAACACAACCCCAGCTATGGGTTTCAAAAGACATTTATCCTTCCCCTCCTCCCCACCAGGGTAGAGTCTAGAAAGTAAGGGGCTTTGGGCCCTTTTTAATGAGACTTGGGGAGAGGGTTGGTAGGGGAGCCTGGACTCTCGCACTCAATCAGGCTCCAGCCCAGGGTCCTGTAAAGGTTACTAAATGTCCAGTACCCAGGAGCACCTTAAGGCTGTCCCCAGGCCACTTCCTACCACCCACGCTGTTGTCCAAGTCTTGCATTTTGTCCCAAAACAGTAACAGAACAAGGTGCTGATTGAACCTTCAGTCCATCTGGGCTCAGCAGGTAGGATCCTCTCCTCCAGGAGATGGTTTCTGCAGCACCCTTGCCCAGGAGTTCTCAGGACAGCTCCTTCTCCCTTCCTTGTCAGCCTCTTTCTGAGCTGTTTGGCTCCACCTCCAGCTGGAGCATGCTCTGCAGGTGTGGCTGGATGGGGTCGTCTGGGTCTGGAGTTGCTCTTTAACCCCTTCAATTCTAGTGCAGGGTTTGTACATCCCATCACACTCAGAAACAAATCTGAGATTCAAGGATGCCATAAATTTGGTTTTTCCTTCTGGGTGTGAATACATAATACATGCTCTCTCACTCTGTTCTCCAAACACTAAGCATATAGGCCCTGGTTCAGGACAGCACATGAGCATTTGCTGAAGTACTGTCCTGAATCAGCGCCTTAGTCACAGACAGCTCAAGGAGTAATATTGCCTAAGTTGTTCCAAATCTTTCATCTCCTGCATGTTAGTTCTCAATCAGAATTGTGCTGGCCCTACATCAAACATTTGTATTTCATGGAAGAACAGTTACGAATTCATGTATACTACATTGTGCAAAGATATGGCTAAAAACTGGTGCTTATCATTAGGGGAAATGTGGGTAGGAAAGGATTTATTTTATATGCAGGAAACAACAGATATTTCATTTTGTTTGCACAGAAGTCTGTCTCTTGCTGATATGAATTCTAGGCTGTAAGCACATTTCTGATCAAGTTTAGTAATTAAATTTAGCAGCAAATATGTTTTCTTATCAGGTT